GCTGCGCGGCCGCGGCCCCCCGCGGCCCTCCTGCCCTCCCGCACAGACGCTGTGAGGGCCCCGCTGTCTGCAGAGAGGGGGTGCCGGCCCCACTGCTGCTGGCAGAGATGCCCGCAGCGGCGAGCTCCTTTAACGAGGGCTTTGCAGGGGCTTAGCTGCAGAGGGGCCCTGTAAACAAAGCTGGGGAAATAGCAAAAGTGAATGTAGTCACCTCTTTTCCTCCTGCTTTTTCTGTCTCGCACGCTTTTTTTCTTATTTAGCTTATGTCTGTTAAAGGCATGTTCTGAGAAGCGGCTAACTAGCGTAATCTTGCTCCTTGCATCTTTTTATAGAAGGTGCATGTGCTGCCACAAACTGTGCTCTACATAGCAGATGCAGAAACCTTCAGTGGACATGAGGAATGCCATGAACAAAAGAAAGGTAACCATTAAAATTACATATTTATAAGTGTTAAAATACTTATTCATTCTTACAAGAAGCACCTGCAGTTAAGTACAGTGTGTGATAGAAAAGTCAGCTGAAATGGAATTCTCTGAATTTCAGAGGAAATTAAATCTTTTGCCCAAAAAAAAAAGTGATTGTGCAGATGAGTGTTTGTGTTATGAAATGCAGTCCCACATGTACGTGGCTCTGTGTGGCTTTGCATTCACACAAGAGCGTACGGTGATTTGCTTTCTCATCCTTGTCAGGGTGCTTATTCCGCTCTGTACCCTACAGATAGTTCAGGTTTGCCAAGTTGTTTACTGGGCAGCCGTTGATTGGGAGTGTTATTTAAATAGAGTGAGACTAACTGTAAGGCTTGAACTCCTTTAACTTCTCTATGTACTCCCCCACCCGTTTTTTTTAACAGCAAGAAAAAGAAACAGTAAAGAAACAGCGACTGAGCTGGAAAAATTGTTGCCAAAGCGATGCCAAGTTCTTGGACTCGTCACCCCAGGGATTGTAGGTAGGACAAAAAATGTGTGATCTGATGTGACATCAGGTTGAAGATGTCTAGGGTATTGCAGGTGTTTTCAGGCTTCCCTGTATTGCAGCTCCATGTGTTTTTGCGTGCACAGTCCTGCAGACCGAACGGAACATGCTCACAGATTATTACCTGGTGCTGCTCCCACCTTGTTCAGTCCTAGCTTCAATGTGAAGGGATTCGCACTGTTGCTGCTAAAGCACGAGTGCTCTAAACTTTTACTTTATGCAGTCATTGAAAAGGTTGATTTAATTTAATTTAATTGGGAGAAATTAGATACAGCAGGGATTTCAGAGACACTGGAGCCATCGGGGATTGAATGTGAAAACCAATGAGCAGGTTTACTCAGAAGACACTAAGCAAGCCGGATCACTGCAGCAGACTTCGCCAAAGTCAAATGCAACTTCAGCATTTCCAGGCAAACAAAGTGATGACATTTTCGTTTGTATTGTGATTGTGCTGGTCTGAGACACAGTTGTCTTAACTGCTTCTAGATTTTCATTAGTTGGTACCTTAATGTAATTATATTTCTTAGATATGTGCATGTTTTAGAAAGTTATATTGTGAGCAGTTGTACAGGGAAGTCCCAGGTATGTGATGTCCTCAGTGTGAATCCATTTGGTTTGGTCCAGCAAGAGGCATTAACACTAGTGATGGAAAATTCACAACTTCCCTTGGTCTTTTTCTAGTACTTCGTTTTTTATCACTAGAAACGTTTTTTTTTTTTTTTTTCCTAATTTGTTACCTTAATATCTCTCCCTCCAGTGTAAGAGCTTTTCCTAGTAACTGTGATCATGGAGGACAAATTACGTTCTTGCATAAGGGCAACAAACCTGCAGGCAGAAGTGTTGGGATCACAGTACACAAGATGTGGGGGTTTTTTTTGTGTCTTTGTAGTTACCCCTATGGGTTCAAGCAGCAATCAACCTCAAGAAATTGAAGAAGGTGAAGCTGGCTTTGCTCTTTTGTTCCCCAAAATTGATGGGGTGAAAATCCAAACTTTCCATTTTTTTAAAGACGTAAAGAACAGAGTCTTCGATGAAAACAAATTTGCGGAAGCAGGTGTGTATTTCTTCTCCATTTCACCTGGGGTTTTGCGACCTGTTATGTGGCTTTTTTAGGGTCCTGCATGGAACTGGGTGGAATGACCAGCTTGTGTGCTATCCCCACGCACAGAGCACTTGGTGGCTCCAAAGGGCTACTGAAGATACTTATACACCTCTGCTCTTCCCTTATTCTGGAGTATTAAGGTTGAGTTATACTGAATATTGAACTCAGATTTCTGCAGCTAGCTTCTAGGCAGTCCTGCTCAGAGGAACATTTATGCTTGTCGATATATGTGGTATTTTGAGCATTTCCCTATTTGTGGAAAATAATCATAGATATCCCCTGTGCCATTGTGAGTGGTTCCTATACTAAAGCTCAAATATTCTGCTGAAGAAGTTGAAAACTGGAGGAAACTAGTGTAATTTTCTCTGTGCTCGATTCTTTGCTGCAGTTTGCTTGTATGTGCAGGTACCAGCTGCCTGGCTGATTGTTTTCATGATCGTGGCAGTGGGAAGCCGTTACTAAATGGGTGATGTATTACTTACGGAGAGAGTGGAAGAGTTTAAACAGGGTGTTTGGACTTTAGAAGTCAAAGTCTAAAAATAAAAGGATTGACATTTTTGTTTTTATTACTAGGTCTGAAAAATAATCCAGACCTGCGTGTGGTTCTTCTGTTTGGCTATAATTCCTGGAAGTCTGGAGCTACTCGTTTTCTGCATCAAATAGTCAATCCTTTGAATGAAAAAAGTATCATCCTGGCTGGGGGACAAGTGGAGGGCTTTACATCACTGACCTCTGAAAAGTAAGTATCTTTTTTAAGCTGAATTGTGAAGGAGATTTAAAACAGGAAAAACAGGTATGGTGCTGGGCACAAAAACACTGTGACTAGTGAGGAGCCAGGAGCCAAACATCCCTGCAAGTCAGAGTGCTGTTACTGAGCTTGTTACTTGAAAAATCAATCAAACAAACAAAAAAAAACATACAAATGCACAAAACCACTGTAGATACAGTAGTATTCCTTACTGGAAATGCCTGGTAACAGAAGTAAAATGGTACCTTTTGGAGAGAGTGAAGTCCAGCTGTTGTACTGGGATCCAGGAAAAATTTAGTTGAGATTAATAAAATGTTAATAGGTAACTACCAAAACCAATGTGTCCTGACTAACCAAGGAGACTGAGACAACATGGATCTGCAGCCATTACTCATTGCTGCCCAGGTTTGATATTTAAATTCTGAACGTCTTGATTTGTCCATAGTTCTGCTGGAGTTACAGAGCTGTGACTTAAGTGAACTGCCAGATTGGCAAGTAGCTAATGCATAGGAAAGTTCCACCAGGAAAGTTCTGCCGCTATTTGCTTCATGTTTAAAAAGAAAAAAATGTTGTGCGTGTTTTGGTGTGAGGAGCTTTGAGAATCCCTTCGGGAGGTTGTTGGTACGGAGCCCCGCGTCGGCTGCAGCAGGAGCTAGGCGAGCGCCGCGGTGCCCCGGGAGGCTTTGTAACGCGCCGTGCGTTGCCTTTCAGTGCCAGCGCGCAGCCCAGCGATGCCTGCGGGGTGGTCGGCCTGGCCTTCAGCGGTCCCCAGATCCAGAGCGCGACCGTTTTGTTAGACCAGGACGTAACTGATGAGAGGACAGCAGAAGCCGCCATGCAGCGCCTCAAAGCAGCCAACATCCCCGAGCATAACACCGTTGGCTTCATGTTTGCCTGCGTTGGCAGAGGATATCGGCATTACAAAACCAAAAGGAATATGGAAGCAGATGCATTTAGGAAGTTTTTTCCAAATGTTCCGCTCTTTGGCTTTTTTGGACATGGAGAAATAGGATGTGATCGAATAGTTACCGGGAATTTCGTACTGAGAGAATGTAATGACATAAAGGAGGACCTGCTTCATGGTTATACTACAGTTATGACTGTTATTCATCTTGGTTCAACTAAAGCAAACAAAGTGTAATGTTTTTAATGCACCAGTGAGCTGTTTGCTTTCATTACAGAAAACAGAAAAGTCTGGAAGAGTGGATATCTTGCCGCGAAAGCACCTTCCAAAACGTAATTTTCTTAACATTATCAAATCTTGTAGTCTGCGTAGCATTTATTATGGTAGCTGTGGGGAAGCTTTGCATTTTGCATGATCCTGTATGCACATCAGCAATGCAGGTAAATTGTAATTGATGGAACTTGGCAACTGAGGAAAGCCACTTTCTTCTAAGATGAGAAAAGTTTCCACAGATAGCAGCTGGAATCCAAATGTCAACATGTGGAAATAAAAAAGTATTTTGATATTATCTATTTATGTATGTAAAACAATCTGGAAGAACTACTGATGCATACTGAGATACTGATGCATGAAATCCACTTCTTTCTGGATTTTATTTCAAGAGATGTGCAACTTGCCTAGATAGAGTCCTGTTTACAAAGCTAAACTGTTTTACTGGATAAAATAAATGATTACTATCTTTAGATAGCAATCACAATACACTCACTAAATAAACAATTAAAATAAGCAAAAGTACCTTGTCTTCTGTTTTTGGAGAAGAGGAATCTTTGAAGAGATGTCCAGTTATAAAATCACCTTTTCTGACCATCTGAATTGAATTTTAAGAGTCTTAAATATGTGATGTAGAAAGGTTGTCCGTTGCCTTTTATGTAGTAGCAATTCCAGTCTTGGTCCTCGAATATTGAGCTTATGCAGTGAAAATGGACTGGTCCTCTTTTCTTGGCAGTTCTCTTGCAGCATCGTGCCCGTACAGAAGACGGTTTCTTTCAGAAGCATTTTGCTTTTTGTTTAGAAATTGTGGACCATGAAACAGTTGACTTTGTTGCATTTAGATGCCAATTCTTTGGCTTTTGTATGTTTTATTTATCTCAGCTGCAGGACAAATTATTTCTGGAGCTCTCTACACTGTAGCTTTTACACCAGTCACCTGCTTTGATTTCTGCAGCTGGAATCTAGTATTACAGAGTTCAAAGGAGTAAATTCAGTGTAGTCTCAGTATACTTGTAATAGAATTCCTCCTTTTTCTTTTCACTTAGTAACAGAGCAACAAGAAAATAAGATTGATTTTGTATTATTTCACCACTCCTCTAAAAGCCAAATCAGGCAGCTGTCCTTTCTTCAGTTTAACAAAAAGAGTGCTTGGCTCTATGTTGTACAACAAAATAACATTTATGTTACAATTCTAAATGCCAAGACTACAGTGTGCGACTTTCTACCAGTGTAGAGTTAAAAACTAAACAACAGAAAAGCAACAGGGTGCACCAGAAAATAGGTGAACTATGCAAAGGACCCCCTGGGCATCCAGCAGTACAAACGTGTCCAGAAGTGCCTCCTCCAGGCAAGTTGTGAGCACAAGCATGAGCGACAGCAATGCGGAGCAGGAGAGCACATTTGAAGCGACTGATCAGAGCAGGGCTCTCTGCACCCAGTTTGCCCAGTCAGGACACCTAATATTTTGCTGATGGTGCGAGAAGTGATGCCAGGAACCAGAACGGCTGGGACTGCTACCTTGCGCCTTAGTGTCTCTTCTGGGCCCTCTCATGTGACAGAGAGGTCATGTCACTCATAAAATTGCATATATCTATGATTAAAATGTTTAGGCATCCAAATCCATTTAGCTTTCACGCCGTCATGTGGTCTTAAACTGCAACAGCTCCTGAGTGAAGCTAAAATACATCTGCTTAAAGGGCAGCTTATGCCTCCTGTTTGATGCAGCGTACCAAAAGCCAATGCTTGTTCTTAATAGACTTAGAAATTTTGCAGTACAGTGATTTATACCTCTCCCTCTCAAAAAAACAGCCATATTTTTTTGTGTTGCAAACAAGCTAAGCAAATATTCAGCAACTGAGGCAAGTATGAATAGCAAGGCTACTTACCCAACATTCAAAGACAACTCTGACAACAATCATCTGCACAATTAAGAGGGCTGATGGTAATCTGTTCCTTGTAAGCATATGTAATCCTTAAGTGACCACAACTGGATATTGTTACGGTGATGAAGTGACACCTTCAAAGGCACAACACTGGCAGGAAAATGTGTGTGGCGGGGGCGAAAGCAGGGTAGTAGGTAAAAGGTAAAAAAAAAAAACAACGTTTTTCTCATATGTTGAACGCAAGTGAGGTTTCGTGCATTATTTTTTCTTTTAATGCCTCTTTTGATTAAGTGAACTGTAGCTGTCAAAAGTACAAAAACAAGCAAAATGATGTGATATATAACATCTCGGTACAAATCTAGAAATCCTCTCCTTAGGAAATGTTACTACAATGTGCATTTGTAAGAAAGCAAGAATAGTCTGATGAACAAGAGCCAATTTATGTTAATTTTAACAACTGTACTGTCAGAAAGCAAATTTGGTTGAACCCTGCAGAAAACTGCAAAGACAGAGAGCACAATTTTTGTCACTTTCTGTGCCTGAAGATTTGTTTTAGCTCAAGTTAATATTGGAACAAGCCTTATTTTAACGGATGAATGAGTCATACTGAATCATGCCCTTTTGGCAGGGAACAGTAAAGGAAGATGTTTAAATGATGCTGCTGAACTCCGGCTTTTGGGATGAGGAAGACGTGGCTGGTAAGAGTGCAAACCTCCAAGTGAGATTTTTGGGGAAAAAACATGTTTATGTATATTTCTTAATTAATTTTTAGTTAAAAATCTGCCTCAGGAATCACTCTGTGTCATCATGTTCTCTTAATTTATTTTGGTCTTTTTGAAAAAAATGGAAAACTTAGAACCTCTTTTCCCTAGTAATAATTCTTCTAGTTTTCATTAATCTTTGTATAAGACAAGAAGTTTGGTAGTGACTTAATTTTTTTAAACACCTAGTTTTTATGGTCAAATCAGAGGACAAATCTGAAATATTTGCCAGCCATACCCTACTTTAATTTTAATCCATGGAACAATACAGGAAAATAAAGTTAGAAACCAGAAGTTTGCGTGAGTGGAAGCTTTTTATTTTGAGAAGTTACAAGGATAGTAAATATGTAATATAAATGTTCTTTGATAGGGTCTTTTATATTATTATCTCCAAGCACTCTGCAAACATTAAGAAAATAATTATTTCCCCCTGAAATGTGATAATTTTTCATGATTATATGAAGGAGAGATTTGTTGAAATTTCAAGACTTTGGTTTGGTTGTTCATTTTACACTATGAGCTTGTGGTAGGTCTCTGAATCATCTGAGGCATTTTTTGCACATGAGAGCAGGGCAGATAAGCGTGATTCTCACAGTTCTTGCAATTTTATGGCCCAGTTCTGGGTAGTTCCTGCTTGTGAGCTGGGCGCTGGTGCCAGCGCGGCCCCGAGGAACCGGCTGCTCCTGGCTCTTCTTCCACAGGTGCCAGTTTTGGTCAAGCAAACACCCGCTTGGAGCTTGCGCTTTGTAATGATTTATGTCCTTTTATGCTTGTCTGCATTTCATAACGGGTGGGGAGCTTTTCTAAACTCACACATAAGGATGGTGAAAACCTGGAAACTTTGCATTTCAAAGGAAGGTTTCAGGGAGGTTTGGAGTCTTTGGAATTGTATTACCTGGAGACTTGTGTTTGAATTCTTAGTAGAGAAACAGCTGGTGGAAAAAGAAGTTTAGAAGGGCTTTGATGACAGGAGCACAAATGTCATCCCCAAATCTACCATTTTGTGCTTCTAAATCATTTCAACACTTTTAAAAAACAATTTATATACTGCTATCATTACATTTCACAGCTAGATCCTGGCTGAAGATAGCAGGTAGCACAAACAGCTTAAAATAAATGTTTCGTAGTGATTCACGTCACTATATCAGTGGTACTCATGTCACCTCTTCAAGATAATTTTTCACAACTATAAAGAGTTAGAAACAGCTTTTTTTTTTTTTTTTAATTAAGCTTGTCTTATCTCAGCTGTCCGTACTGCGATAGCGAGAGACAACACTGATCTCTCCCCTCCTCCTCCCCCTCAAAAAAACAGGAACTCTGCTAGACTCTACAAAACTGGTGAAAATGTCAGAACAGTTTAAAGACAGCAGAGCCGTGACTGCCATGTCAGAGAAAGAAGAGCACAGTGAGTACAACACAGATTTGCATAACTGAGCCCTGCTAAATATTCCTCCACTGGATGCTCAGCTACATTTTCTAATCTCATCACCTGCATGTACAAAACTTGTGGTCAAAATATCACTGAGAGGGTAACTTGTGAAGAATCTGTAGGTACACTGAAAAGAGAGTTCAAATGCTACACAAACTGACACAGAGGTGCTCTTTAAAGTGTTAGAGGTCTTTTTTGTTTTGTTTTAATTTAGGAGATGAAACCAACAATATCTTGACGCAATTTCCAGTTCCACATTTGCAAGTTCTATTTATACACCCTTCGATAGCTGTAGGATTAATTCCT